TTTTGATATGAAACAGTTTTAAGGATCAAGTAACCACCATTTGTTCAGAAGAATTTCACTAAAATTTCCATAGTTCCAATAATTGTAGTTTTTATTATCTTCATCTATATATTCAAAGAAAGTCTTCTGTTAAATTAAAACCTGTACATTCAAGTTCTGGGCATCAATCAATAGACCGATCACCTGCCAAATAAAACTTTAAGTTACTTTCCCAAATGGACAAAAACTTAAGTTTTTGAATAATGGAGTTTTCTCTCATTGTAACAATTGAGCTCACAACATTTAATTTTAATCACCATTCCTTTCTTTGCTCTGCTATATGTGTATGCTATTTCAGTGACCTGACAAGGAAAACCACCTCTAAGAATTATAATGTGGTCCATGACAGGGCTATTTTTTTGCGTGCTTCTCCTACTGGCTCTCGATTATCTTTAGGATGAAACGCAATCTCCTCTGTTTAGTTTTTGAAACCTTTCACAATCTCACACCAAACTATCTTTCTAGCTTTATGATATGCTACTCCCCTCCTCCCTCACTCTGTGACCTAGAGAAAGTGGCTTTCTGTTTCCCCTGACAGTCTACTGTTTGTTTCCAAGTCTTTGCACTGCCTATCCCCTATCACCTCTGCATATTGGAAACTCGCTCTTCCTCCAAGACTCAATTCAGATACCACTTTCTACATGAAGTCTTTCCTAGACCCCTCCAACTACTAGTGCCTTCCTTCCAACTATCTTGTAGTGAACTGCTTTGTATTTATTCTAAATATTTATTCTACATATTCATACATATATATGTACTTGTTGTACATCTCCTTAGAATGTGAGCATTCTTCTAAGTAGGGATTGTTTCAGTCATTGTATTTGTATCCTAAGAATCTAATACAGTACCTGATATGTATTACGAACTTAATCATTGTTGATTCACCTAGTCAGGAATATTTTTGTTCATATATTCCTACTTTGTAATCCCCCTACCCTGCTCTGCCTACCTTTGTCCCCTTGCTTTCTGTATTGCTACTTAAAACTGGATAAGAACTTGCTTTCTGTATTGCTACTTAAAACTGGATAAGAAAAATCAACCTGTTATGGGGTTTTGGCAGTAGAGATACGCATGTTTAGTAGTCAAGATAAGATTTCATTTTTTCAAAAACAGATTCTATACCACAGGATCAGAGGCCATCATTGCATCACACATTATCTATGTAAGTGTAAAAGACAGTAACATTCCATTGTCCAGAAAGCCTTTCCCAAAAGTACTGATAGAGAAAAAAGATGTGTTGCTAGGCTACACAATAAGGATTTCATTTCTTCTGTTTGTCTTACCTGTACTATTCTCAGCAAGACCTGAACTAGGTAAGTGTTCTGAGGGATTCCAATCTTGATCAAAGCATACAGAGTGAATGCCAACTGTTGAAGCTTTACAGTCTTGGCTTCTTTCATTACTTGGTCACAGATCTGATTAAAAGCTGGATGTTCACAAAGCAACTGCCTTTCAAAGCACCTCTGGTCTTCGGACATATTTTTAGCAATTTTCCACATAGTTGTGAAATAGTTACAGCTGGAAAATCTAGGAAACTTTGAAAACACGTCCAATACATCACTCATGGAATTACAATGCTGAATGAGGTTCCTGTATTTGACAAAGTCTAACTGCTTTTCCTCTTTGGAGAGATCGTGTTCAGTAGGGACCATCATTTTCTTCAGCCCATCAACAGCAAGCTGAGGTGTCGTGTCTGACACAAGAAAGCACTGTGAGTCAAAAGACAGTTGTCTAGGGCATAGGAGTTTGACGCCTGAAGTTGATGTTAATGTGTTCAGTCTTCTTTTTTGGATTTCATTGCCTTCCAACTGAAAAACTAACATACCTTGGCAGAAAAATCTAACAGACGATTGAGGTTTTTGAAGAGAGTCAAGGAAAAGAAAATTTTTTAATGTGATATTTTGGTAGGTCATTTTTGGTTTATGAAGCTCCAAAGTATCTATTTTCATCGTTCTTCTACTGCTTGAGGAACCAAATGGACAAATGTTTAGATTCAGTTGTCTGAGGTTCCATAAAAAGGAACTTGGTTTTTTATTCATTTTGCTATTGCTTTAAGATTCCTCAAAAATCACCAACAGCCATAACTTCTACCAGCCAAACCAGAAGAAGTCCATTATTTTCCCTCTAAAAATAAAATAGGATAGATTAGCAAAGATTTCAAAGAAATACACAGACAGAAAAATACACTGTCAAATCAGGCTGAAAAAAACCTAGAATATCCTCTTCAATCATTAAAGACTTTCATTAAAAGACATCCAGACAATTCAATCCTTTATCTAGGCACTTGTACATTTCTTGAATATAAGCATTCTTCTCTTTTAAAACATTTTAGTATTATTTCAAGAAACCTGCTGTTCCATCAGTTCAGATACTTTACCTATAGGGACAGCAACCTCTCCTTTAGTAGGCCATCCTCAGGGGTTGCTGTGGTTAAAAAAAAAAAAAAGAGTATTCACCAGTGGCCAGTCTTCTGGTAATGAGCCTGTCTCAACTTTATTACAAGAAGCATCCCTTCACCCCTAGGTTTTTATTTGACATATTTCTAGCTTGGTAAAATAGGCTAAAGCTTTGCTGGCAGCACAGTCTTTGGGAACATAAGGTCACTTTGGCAAGTATGTAAAACATGGACTACAGAAGGGGGATATGACAGGCATGTAGGTGGTGAAGTAGCTAAAGCTCCGGGTTTGGAGTTATGAGGACCTGAGTTCAAATCTAACCTCAGACCCTTGACACTAGCTGTGTGACCCTGAGCAACTCACTTAACCCCAATTGCCTCACCAAAAGAAAAAGAGAAGGGGGATATGAGGCAAAGAGAACAAGCAGGAAGCAAGTCAATTATTTGCATGGGAGGAACCAGGACTTAAACTAGTGGTTAGACACGGAAATGGAGAGGGGATAGAAATTGTGGACACAGAATTTACAACTGATTGTATATGTAAGGGGGCAGTGGGTGAAAAGTGAGGATGACTCAGAGGTTGTGAATCTGTTGACTGGAAGGATCCTGCTGACAGAGAGGCAAGTTTTGAAGAAGGGTGGATTTTGGCCCGGATTCTATTGTGGGCATATTAACTTTAAGATGCCTATGGCGCATAGAGTTCAAAATGTCCAACAAGAAACTAGTGATATCAGACTGGAGCTTATAAAAGGGACTTGGGTTAAATGCAAAGATGTGGGAATCATCTCCATAGAGATCATAAATACATGAGAGCTGATGGGGTGACCAAGAGAGAGTGTAGAGAGAAAAAAAAAAGGCTCATGACAGAACTTCAGTTAAGAGACTGAACATGGATTATTGAACATGGATTATGTTCCAGCAAAAGAGATAAAGGAACACTTCTAAGAAGAAAACTAAAAGAGAATAATGCTGTGAAAGCTGAAAGGGGGGGAAACAGTATCTAAGAGGAAAGTCTGATTATGAGTATGAAATGTTTCAAAACGGTCAAGAAGTATACACCTGAAAACAGACTACTGTATGCCATTTGGCACCCCAGAAACACTAAGAATAATAAGGGCAGTATTGCAAATGGGGGGCGGGGGGAGAGAAATAGACTGTTTGTTACATGTGGTTGAAAGGGGAAACAAAAGCCTGAATGGTTCCTAAGCTCCCTTCAATAATAAGGGCAGTATTGCAAATGGGGGGCGGGGGGAGAGAAATAGACTGTTTGTTACATGTGGTTGAAAGGGGAAACAAAAGCCTGAATGGTTCCTAAGCTCCCTTCGGAGGAGAAAAGCCTTGGGAAAGAGTGGCGACGGGCAAAGAGAACGAGAAAGGCTTCGGACCTGATCTGGAGATGGGGAGGAAGCACACGCGAGGGCGGGATTAAAGAGCCCGCCGAATGTCTCCCGAGGCGGCCCAGCACACTAAAATGCCCCGCTTCTCGCGCTAGCTGGAGGGAAGCACCAGGGGCCCCCGCTGCCCGCCCCACATGGGGGGAGGAGAGAAACGTCAGCTCCGCAGGCCCGGGGCTCCGGGCCCCCTCGGGGAGCAAGTTCAGGCTGGGCCCAGCGGCCCCGCAGCAGTTCTCCACGGGAGAAGGCACCCGCTTTGCCCGCCGGGGTCGGGGAAAACCCAGCTCACCTCCGGGAACTCCGACGCGAAACCCTGATCGGTAACCCCGCTCTCTCCACTCTAGAATGAACCGAGAACTTCCCATTGCACAAGAGAACCCCGTCACTGTCCGCGGAGGGGAACCCCCAGCTTAAGCGCTTACCTTCCACTCACTTTAGCGAGCCACACGAAGAAATCCTGGAGACAAGCGCGACACTTCCTCTTGCCGCATGGCGAGTATCGCGAGACTTACGGGCTCTTCCGAGGGTCAAAAAATGTCCGTGACCGGAAAAATCAGCCGAAGAGGATATTGACTTGGAAATTCACACTGGAAAAGATTTCGGCGGTTGTGTGATCCAGCTCTTACATTTACAGCAAAAGCAACTGAAGTCCATAGAGGCTGTGTTGCGACTTGCACAAAGCTATCCAAGTAGCAATTATCTCCCCCTTGTCTTCAAATTACTTTGTATCCACTATGTATTTACTGTTCTGTCACTGTCTTTCTCCTTTCTCTCCCTGCCTCCTCCAATAGTACGTAAGCTCCTCCAGGGCAGAGACTACTTCATTTTTGACTTTATATCCCAGGCATCTACCGCAGTGCCCGGGAGCATAATAGGTGTTTAGTAAATTGCTTGTTGCATGAAGTGGCAGAATCAAGATTCGATCCTAGGTTTTTTGTATCTAAATTATTTCAAGAAGGCGTTTTATTGATGGGAAAGACGCCATCTCAACAATAATGACCTGGGCAAGGAAGACCAGGGACCTCGGACCGGGTGTGTATGTGTGTTTGCGAAAGACAGAGACAAAGAGAGACAGAAAGAGAGGGAGGGGAAGGAGAGACAGAGAGAGAAAGAGACAGAGACAGAGAGACTCAGAGTTTCTTTGCCCTGGGCTTCTAGAACGCGTCGGATGGCCGTTCCTTAGCAACGAATCAGGTCTTGCCCGGTTGCTTGGAGACGACGTAGCGTCTCTCTTCTCTAGCCTCATTCTTTCTCTCCCCATCCCGGCTGTTTCTTACAGCGGTCATGGCCAAGTTCGTTATTGCGGGTAAGTGACACCTCACCCCACCCCCCCCACCTGCCCACAGCGATCTGAGGGATCCCTCAGATTAGATCGCACTGAACAGCTGCTTGTAGTCCTACTACTCAAAACCTTTCTCTTCGGGAGGCAAAAAAAAAAAAGAAAGAAAGAAAAAAGTGGCGGCTTGTTCTTGGAGAAGGACCCGAGAGACCCATCTTGTTCTGCCCCTTGCGAGCTGTGTCACTCCGGGCTAGAACCTCTCTGAACCTCAGTTTCCCCATCGGCAAAATGAGGATGACAGTGCTCTCTAGTCTATACCTCGTGGTGTCTTTGTAAAGATCAAATGAGATAATGGATGGAAAGTGTCTTGTATGGCTTAAAAGAAACTAATGTCAGCCGCATCACCATTAGCCAGTTAATAAACATTTATTCAGCGCTGACTATTTGTAAGGCACTGTGCTAAGAGCCGGGATACAAAAAAAAAAAATCAAAAGTCCTTGCTTGGAGCTTACAATCTAACAAGCAAACAAATATGTACAAAAAAGCTATATACACGGTAAGTAGGAAATAATTAAGAGAGAAAGGCACTAGAGGACTTGGGAAAAGGCTTCCTGTAGAAGATGGGGTTTTTAGTTGAGACTTAAAGAAAGGTCAGTCTATGAACTGAGGAGAGAGAGCATTCCAGTCATGAAGGACAAGCAGAGAGGATGCCCAGAGCTTAGAGATGGAGGATCTCCTTCCTGGAACAGCCAGAAGGCCAGTGTCACTGGATCAAAGAGTGCATGGTGGAAAGTGAGGTGTATGAAGACTGGAAAGGTAGGAAGAGGGCTAGGTTATTAAGGGTTCTGAATGCCAACAGAGGATTTTGTATTTGATCCTGGAGGACTGGCATCATCATCATTTTCTTCTTCTCCTTCTTTTCCTTCTCCTTATCTACTTCCCTCTCCTCTTCTTCTTCTTCATTGTTTTTAGGTCCTTAGGGCTAGGATCTCTAAAGACATAGGGAGGCTGAGCCTGCAAATCTCCTTTCCCAGTCACTTATATGTCTATAGACAAAGAAGATGAACACAAGAACACATACCCAGTAGAGGTGGCTGCAGTGGATAGAGCACTAGACTGCAGTCAGGAAAAGCTGAGTTCAAATCTAACCTCAGACAGGGTATGCCCCCTAGCAAATTGCTTCAATTCTGTCTCATTTTCTTCGTCTGTAAAATAGGATAATAACACCTATTTTTCAGGGTTGTTGTGAAGGTGAAATGAGCATTGTACAGTGTTTTACACTCTTTAAAAGTGCTATATAAATGGTATGAGGATGATAGCCACAGAAACCCATTCATTTGTATTTAAGCCATGCTCTTGTCTCTGTATGCCAGAGATCTTGGTGTGGATTCTTGAGTCAGAGAATTTATTTGATTTAGAGTGAGAAGCAGTCTTACTGGTCATCTAAACCAGTTCCCTCATTTTACATATGAGGAGACTGACATCCAAAATAGGTTGAATAATTTGCCCAAGTTTCCGAAGGTGGCAAAACCAGGAATTAAATCCAGTATTCTTCCAGAGGACCTAGATTTGCCTCTCAGTCCTACTTCTTACTACTTGTGTGGCCTTAGTCATTTCACCTCTTTGTACCTCAGTTTCCCCATATGTAAATGACAGTGGATGGATCTCTAAGTCGTTCCTATGGCTCCAACACTGCCCTCGAATCTATATCTAGATTTCAGACCTCTTTTCTCTGCTCTGGTCCTTTATTTTTAAAACCATATGATTGACAAGCAGAAGTCTATGTCCAAAATTGTATTTGTAATCTTTGCCCCCAAACTAATTTACCTTTCTAAATTATTCCATGTGTAATAGGGGTGCCTAGAAAGAAACACAAACTTCCCCCAAAGCAGAAGCATTATTTTCTACAGTCCAATTGCTTATGTCTCTTTCAACTTTAACTGAATATTCACCACTTTCAACTGCAAAGAGTTATCTGCTCATGGAGGACAGGTTAAAGGTCATAGAAAAGGGCATGGAGGACAGGTTAAAGGTCATAGAAAGGGGGTGAAGCTCAAAAGGAGTACTTGATCCACAGGGAAGAAAAACCTAATTGTCTCCTTTTTCAATAGACAAAACTTCTTTTTTGCTCTACAGTCAAATCTAATTGAGCTTTCCTGTGCTCTAGGGCTCCCTCCTCCAGTCTTCCAAAATTTCCATCCCAAAATCGTTCTCCTTCCAAGCATTATATTTCAAAGCAAGAGGTGTCCACATCAAAGAGAGAGAGAGAAAGAGAGAGACAGAGACAGAGACAGAGACAGAGACAGAGACAGAGCAAGGAACTTGAAACTGGAGTCCATGAATTCATTTAAAAAACAATTTGATAACTATTTCAATGTAATTGGTTTCCTTTGTAATCCTATGCAACTTATTTTATGCATTTACAAACATTGTTCTGGATAGAGGTTTACAGGCTTCACCAGAGTCCTGAAGGCCTTTGTGTCCATGGCACAAAAAAAAAAAGTGAACTCCTGGAACAGATGAATGTCAGTAATGTCACCTTAGGATGTTAGCTACTGTAGTATAGGAAATGTATTGTGAATATGTTTGATGCAATACTTGGTGCTTAGTGAATATTTGAAGGGAAATGTGAATGATTTGTACATGTTCTCTGCTAAATTAGAGAAGTCCAGAGTGGGCTGTTCCTGATTTCACTCTGGCTTGTGCCTTTGTCCCCTAGACAAACCCCTAGGTTTTAGAACATAAAGAATCTTATTTAAATGCTTCCTCCTCTAGGGTAGGATGAGGACAGTGTCCTTGCATACTTCAAAGACCTATGGTTTTATCCATGTGAGTATTCCCTCCACCAACTCAAAGCCCCTCTGCAAATTATTAGATGGTTCTTGAGAGTGACCAAAAAAATTCAACCTTTTGCATTGTCTACAAACTTAGCTAGCTTGGTCCTCAAGTGAAAGGAATGCAATCTATTACCAGGCCTGTTCCTGAAGCCCTTCTAGTCTAGTGGGACCTATTGGGGCTTGTACTTTGCTGGCAGATGAATGTAGTGGCAAGGGTTGTGTCATAGGTGAAACATCTTTCCTATAGATAGACAACCAATCAATTAATCAGTCAACAAAAATTTGTTAAGTGGCTACTTTGTGCCAGGCACTGTGCAAAATGCTAGAGAATATAAAAAGAGGCGAAAGATAGTCCTTTGACCTCAAGGAGCTCGCATCTAACAGGGGAGATGACATGTAGACAAATATATGCAAAGCAAACTATATACAGGATAAATAGGAAATAATTAACCAAGGGAAGGCACTAGAGTTAAGAAGGGTTGGGAAAGGTTTCCTCTAAAAGATGGCATTCTAGCTGGGGTTTAAAGGAAGCTAGGGAATCCAGTGGGTAAAAATGAGGAGAGAGAGAGAACCTTCCAGGCATGGGGGACAGCCAGAGAAAATGCTTGGAACAGAAAGATAGAGTATCTTGTTTGTGGAACAAAATTTCATTTAGTCCAAACACATTTTACAGATGAAGGTCCAGAATGGAAGAGTAAATCATTAGCTTGTTAATCGTGGAGGCAGATCTTTTAGCTTCACTGTGTTTCCTCTATGTCATGCTGTCTCTCAGCCTGGTATAGAAATATAGACTAGAATCACAAGTATTATTTTAGCATTAACACCTTGGAGCAAAGATGTCAAACATGTGTGGCTCACAATACTCTTGAATTTGACTGGAACCAGATTGAAATGGAATTGGGAAATATTTCACAAAATAAATTTAAAAATAATAGAACATAATGTTCTCTAATGTGGTTTTCTAAGTCAGTAGCTGTAAGCAGGGATCTTTATCTACTGTTCAATGGCCCCATTTCTATTTGTTTGACATCTCTGTCTTATAGACTTATCTTGTCCAACCCTTTCATTTTACATTAAGAAAAAGAGAGGGACTAAGGAATGAGCTGCCCAAAGTGACATATCTGAAGAAGCCAAGACTAAAACCTAGGTCTCCTGATTTCTTGTCAACTTTGTAATTCACTGTACTCCTTTAACACATTCAATACCCCTAGAAACCTCTCCAACTCTGGAAGGTCACTAAAATTCTAGACTTTACACATTGGAAATACCTACTTCCACCCCTGCAGCCCCTCCTTCTGATTGGCTGGTTCTTCCTAGAACCTCCGTTTTAAAGACCGTGTCCAGGCCATTGGTATCTTCATTCTTTTCCAGACTGCATTCCTGACTCTCTTCCCTAGGCTCTGTAGGTCCTAGACTTTCTCTACAAACTCCTGTGACCTGATACCTTCAATACAGTGGTACTATTTAACTTCCTTTTTCACACATTGTCTCCCCCCACACACACACACCTTGGTTAAAATTTAAGATCCTTGAGAGTAGGAATTGTCTTTCTTGTTGTGTTTGTATTTGTAGCTTAGCACCCTGTCTGTGCTAAATCACAACATAAGCACTTAATAAATATTTATTGGCTTGACCTGAAAGGAATTCCCTAGGTTGACAAGACCTATTCAGTCCTTAAGGCTGGATTGTCAGTTGGGAGGAATCCAAGAGAAAAGCAGTTGAAAACTAGAGAGCATGTTTCTGAAACGTATTCTTTTATTTCTCTGATTCATCTCTATTCAAAATGCCCACCCTTGCCTTCCTTTTACACACACATACACTATTCCCTCTGCCTAGAGAGTGCACTTTCCACATCTGTGCCTTTTAGAGACCTAGTCTTTCAAGGCTCAACTCAGGTGCTCTCCATGAAGCCTCTCTTGGTTGTCCTTATTTTTAAATGCTCTAATATTACATTGCATTACACTTATTTATGCTTATTTTTGTACATGCTGCGTTCTTCCCACTGCCTCCCAAGAAAATGGAAGCTCTTTGAACACAGGCATATTTTCTTTTCGTTTTTATATCCTTATAACCTATCACAGTGTTTTACACACAGTAGGTGCTTAATAAATAAATTCAATTGAATTCTACCTGATTTATATGTACATAAGTACAAAAATGGGATACACAACCTATGAATGACAATGTATACTACCCAAGGGCATGTAAACTGTCCCCCTACTAATTTGATCTCTTAGGTAGTGCATCTTGCCCATACTTTGCTAAAGCAGAACTTCTGGCAGATTTTCTGCAGAAAAATCTACCGGATTTCCAGATATACAAAATTACTCAACACCCCGATGTTTGGAAGGTAAGAAACTATTACAGTCTGTTAGATTCACTAAAAGTCATTATATGCAAATTTGATTATAATTGTTAAACTGGCTGTTTCAGATTAGTTTTCTGTAATAAGTTTTGCTTATTCATGTAGTATAAACAGGTGGTCATTTTTCATGCAAATCTCTTCAGATCAACTTTTATATCCCAGTTTAAATGTTTTAATATGATTTGTGGAAATAAATGTGGTTTCTAATTGATAAGGATAACCAATTTAGTTTCCCCTAGGAATTCAGTATTTATCACTTATATTAGGACTTCTTAATACTCATCTTCCTTCAAAAGTCTTCACATTTTATTTTGAATGTCTTTTGAGGAAATCAGTTATTATCTGTGAAACCACTCCCTTCTCTGGACATATCCAAGACCTGTTTAAACTGTTATTTGCTAGAGACTGGAAATCAGTTTAAGGCGGATATGCCTTGAACCACAATCTAACCGAGTTTAGTTGTTAATGTTCATCCTTTGTTTTCAGAGAACACTAATGACCCCACCCTGTTGGAATCAGGGTACAGTGTGTTCTGCTGTGACTGATCAGTCCAATATGACTTCAGAAGGTACCACCACAGATTGGGCACAAGTGGTTCATTAGAACATTTAGAGAGGAAGAGGCTCTGGATTAGCACAGCAAATCTATGATTCTATTTGGAAAACAGTGCCTTCTTTGAAGCAGGCATGCCACACTGGACATCCAGTGTCAGCGTTTTCCATGTCTCACAGTCAATATTAAAGTTTTTCAAAGATACCTTGAGAAGGTCCTTATACCACTTCTTCTGACAACCATGTGAGTAGTTACTGTGTGCAAGTTCTCCATAAAATAGTCTTTTGGGTAAATATTGGCATTCAGACAATGTGTCCAGCCCATCAAAGTTGCATTCTCTGCATTGAAGTTTGAATGCTTGGCTGTTCAGCTCGAGAAAGGACTTCAGTGTCCAGTACCTTATCCTTTCAGGTGATCTTCAGAATCTTCCTAAGACAATTCAAATGGAAGCGATTCTGTTTCCTGGCATGGTGCTGATACACTGTCCAGGTTTCACAGGCATACAACAATGAGGTCAGCACAACAGCTCTCTAGACCTTCAGTTTGGTAGGCAGTCTAACACCTCTTCTGTCCCACACTTTCCTTGGGAGTCTCCTAAACACTGAGATAATTCTGGCAATGCGTGCATCAACCTCATCATCTATGTGCAAAGTATACTGCCAAGGTAAGTGAACTTATCCACAGCATTCAAAATTTATCCATTTACTGTAATCAGTGGTTTCATGTATGGATAGTGCGGTGCTGGCTGCTGGAGAACTTATGTTTTCTTGGTGTTGTTAGGCCAAAATTAGCACAAGCAGCAGAAAATCAATCCATACTCTGTTGCATCTTGGCCTGAGAGGCTGCATTGAGTGCACAATCATCTGCAAACAAAAAGTCATGCACTAACTCCCCTTTCACTTTGGTCTTGGCTTGTAGCCTTTTCAAGTTAAATAGTTTACCATTTGTGCAGAAGCTGATGTTGATGCCGTTTTTGTCCTCGTTGATGACATCTTACAACATCACAGAAAACATCATGTTGAAGAGCATGGGAGCAAACAGATAACCCTGCTTCACTCCACTGGTGACTGGGAAAGAATGAGAGCATTATCCTTCATCCCGAACCCATGTGAGCAGGCCATCATGAAAGTGGAGTACAATGCTGATGAACTTCTCTGGGCGACCCAATTTCTACCATCTTCTAGAACATTTCTCTGTGCATGAACAGTTTATTTCTGACTGGGAGGGAAAGCTAATTCAGTACATAGTCAGAAACAATGGAGCAGAAGAGGAGTGGACAGCTTTCAGACACTTGGTGTACAGCACTGCATGTGTTCATCTGGTCCATAACACCTGTAAACAGCAGAATTGTTTTGAAAAAAATGATGAAGAAATTCAGAAGCTGCTAAATAAGACACAAGAACTCCACAGGGTTCGCACTGGAGTCATACTGATCAGTGAAAAGAACATGATCCTGGAGAGATGGGCTGAACATTTCCATAGTGTTCTTAACCATCATCAATCAATGCCAAAGCCACTGATCGTATGTCTCAGGTTGTAATCAGTTCCTCTCTAGCCAAACCTCCAAGTGAAGGAGAGGTACTGAATGCTATCAAGCTCCTCTTGAGTGAGCGGCAAAGCATCTGGTGCTGATTCCATCCCAGTAGAGATCTACAAGGCAGGGAGTACATTGCTTATACAGAAGCTGACTTAAGGCTTCCAGGTTATATGGCAAGAGGAAGTCATCCCTTAGCAGCTCAAGGATGCTTCCATTGTTCATCTCGATAAAGGAAAACAGGCTGTCCTATGACAATCACAGGGGGAACCTCTTTCCTAGTCACTAACAATCCTCGCTCGAGTCCTCCTAAAGAGTCAGCGTGACTTCAGAAAGGACCACGGAACAGCTGATATGGTGTTTGTGGCCTGACAACTCCAGGAGAAATACCAGGAGCAGAACAGAGGTCTGTATACAATGTTTGTCGGACTGATCAAGGCCTTTGACACTGCCAGTCTGGAGGGCCTATGGAAGGTCATGGTGGCATTGGGTAGGAATTTAGTCACTTAAATATCAAAAGGACCAAATCATAAGGTACAACTCTTTGGAGCAGTTTTACTGCATGTACCTTAAAGACACCAAGTGTACTTCCCCCAAATGAACATTGAACTCTTCCTCTTAACTTACAATTTGGCTTTTAGAGACAAGGGCCACACAAACCTGATAATTTTATTTTATTTTTAAATAAGCATAAATTGGATTCACCAGATAAGTACCACCTGATCTCCACATTATTCTTGACTTTCTGAACCTGACAAAAGTGAACATCCCCACTAAACTGAGACAATCAGCATTTCTTAAAAGTCTGAGCAAGAGGGGCAGCTAGGTGGCAGTGGAAAGAGCTCCAGCCTTAGAGTCAAGAGGACCTGAGTTGAAATCCAGACTCAGATACATAACACTTACTAGCTGTGTGACCTTGGGCAAGTCACTTAACCCCATTGCCTAGCCAAAAAAAAAAAAGCTGAAAAATTTCTGACAGCTGGTGGCTCAGTAAATAGATCCTGGAGTCAGGAAGATGAGTAGATAGGTCCTGGAATCAGGAAAACCTGAGTTCAAATCCAGCCTTACCAGCTGGGTGACTCTGGGTAAGTCAATTAATATCTGCCTCAGTTTCCTCATTTGGGGCAGCTACTTGGCGGCAGTGGCTAGAGCACTGGCCCTGAAATCAGGAGGACCTGACTTCAAATCCGGCCTCAGGCCAAATACTTGACACTTACTAGCTGTGAGACCCTGGGCAAGTCACTTAATCCCAATTGCCTAAAAAAACAAACAAACAAGCAAAAAGTCTGAGCAAGAGCAAGGGGCGAATGAGCTCATGGAATTAGTGCATATTTTTAAAAAATAGTTGTTTCTTTTTAAACATAACACTCAAAGTAGAAAATGAAGTTCTGTAGTCTCATTTAAAAAATAATAAAGTATCTCTTGACATTTTCATTCTACTGACCTATCTGAACAACTACTAGTTTGATAAATAAAGGTTAATTTTGCTTTCTTTTTGTTGCTTTTTTGTGATTAATGTGGAACTATGTTTTGTATGACATAATATCTATAATGAGTATGACATTTCTTGCCTTCTCAATGGTCGAGGGAGGGGGTAAAGTGAGGGAGAGAATATGGAACTGAAAAGAAAACATTGTCAAAAAAATTTTTTAAAGATAAATGTGAAGTATATTTTATTTTTCTACCTAATTTGTAGTTCAGTGCCATTTTAAAATATATGGTAGACTTTTTAAAGAATGCTAAGACATCTTATATAAGTTGGAAAGGATAGCATTTAAACTTATGAAATCTAAATTTTAAGTAAATTTCATCACATTAAACTTTCCTTGGCATATTTTTTTCAATAGCAATGGCTGAAAGATCTATGCAGGAAGAATCAATGGAAACATGAAAGTTCTCCTATAATTTGGAGAGAATTATTGGACCGTGGAGGAAAGGGTCTTCTTCTGGGAGGATTTAATGAATTCTTGGAGCATGCCCAGGTAATAAGTTTGTTAGATACTTACCATCTGTTTGAAATTTTATCTGCTCTGCCTCACACTATTATATTTATTTTAAAAATACAGTCATTTAAAAAAAAACTTCTTTTGTCTCCTTCTTCGTGTAGCCAATATATATAGTTCTGGAGTTCACTCTCTCAACCCCCACTCCACTGACAAGTTGGGTATCCAGAGCAAAGCTACTACTCTCTTTCCCCTTTAAGGGGAGGGAGCTCACTTCTAGGTGGGTCATAGCCTTTGGAGGGGTTGCTCCCTTGCTTGAGGGCACAGCATTTTGGCTGGATCAATATAATAGTGCTGGGTCTTGTCAAGCGGCTTGCTTCTCAAGGCTGGCTCCTCATTTGTTGCTAGCAAACTCTGTTATGTACTCTAACTTCTGGTCCTCTAGTGGCATTTCTGATTTTTTGAAGTTCACAAGGTAGCCTACTATCTTTGGTCTCCGGCAGAAATGAGAAACACAAACAGGAAAAGAAACTGAAGCACCATGAATTTATGAACATATGTCAGCTTGTATATGGAGAATAGGCCACTGGTGCTTCCTCTCTCCCCTCCTAGAGGCTTGCAGCATTTCTTCCTCACTTGTAGCCAGGAAAAAGACTATGATTTGTCCTGTGCATGCCTTTTGTAAACATGCTCGGTTCTAGCTCAGTATCAGATAAACATTTTTCATCACCATGAGCTAAGCAGATGGGAAACTGTCATGAAATACCTACCCATGTTCTGAACTGGGGGCAGCTCCCCTCTGTTACTCATGATTGTGAATTTCCAAAAGCAGGTTCACCATGTCCCCCAGATGTCATGGCAGCAGACAGAGTACACCGTGGAATAGGGCCCCCATTCTGTTCATGTAAAATGAGTCTTTCTTTGTATCTGTAGGTCTTCTTGTGCTAACTTAGGTCTTCTCTCTGTCTAGCTTTACTATGGTGTTACCTCAAAGATGATGACTTCTGAGATGCTGATTATTGCTGGCGAGAATTTGGAGACACATATAGAAATTGAGCAGGAGGACGAAGAGCTTAAAAAGAAGATCAGTCCACTAAGGGTCTGGATCACTGGGTAGGAAAGTAGAGCCAGGCTATTTGCTACATTGCAACTCTTCTTTATCAGGGTGCATGATTAATTCCACTACAGATTAGGCAAATAACCCTTTTGAGATTTATTGTAGTGACTTATTTAAAATGCACAGAAATGAAAATTTACTGCTGAGATAGCACCATTTAGGACTTCAACATTTCTTTATTTCCTGAATACAAAATCAATATTCTCACAAAGCATTTTGTTTATTCAGTAGCCTTTATAAAGAGATAGCTCCCTGTTACCCATGTCTATATTATTGTAAATTCTAAAATATTTGACTTATTTCTACAATTTAAAATCCTACTTCTATAATGTACTAGTGAATTTAGGTCTTGATTGAATTTTGGATTGTTTTAAAAACGTATTTCTTAGTAAGTAATTTTTTCCCAAAAATTTTCCATAACTTTTCATGAACAGTAGTTAAGAGAGACTTGATTATTTTTATTTTCACTTGAGAAAATTTAAAAGGGCATCCAAAGCAAAATCATTGTTTATTAGAAATAGCTCCCTACAAACAGGAATTTTTATTTCAGTCATTTGAAAAGAGGCAGTGTCTGTTATTTTGAGACTACCTTCTCATGACCAGAGCAAGGTAGGAGTCAGAATTTCTTAATTTAAAAAAAAAAAACTCTAACCTAAAACAAATCACCCAAAGCCTAGGTGTACATTTGTCCATTTAAAAATATGTGCAGTCTTATTGTATTTACAGAATTGTATGGGTATTTAAAAAAAAACAAATTAAAATGTTAAAAACAAAGTGTTGAAAATGTAAATGTAAAAAATGTAAAACATAAAATGTTAAAAATAAATACAGTCTTACTATATATAAAGAATTGTATGGTGAGAGTAAAGGTTTAAGGGAAAATATCTTTTCATCATTTATAATGAAGTTATCACATTTCATCAGTGCATCTTGTCCTACATGCTACAACCTGATTCCATTACTGGTCAATGGAGAAGTGTTCGGTATGGAGGAAGAAATTAGCATCCATCTCCTAAACAACAGCTTTGAAGAAGGCAGTCTCAGTGCCACTGTGATGGAAGGCCAAGACCTGGCAGCGCCTCTTCTGCGGGAAATCTCCGTGTGCACAGTACTAGAAGAGGCCTTTTTTGAGGCTGAGGTTGTCATCATACTTAATGATGATATTGATAATGAGTCTGAGTCTCTAGAAAATAGAATCAGAGCTAGGCTTCCTCTATGTCAGTTATTTGGATCCCTGATTGAGAAAAATGCTCGTCGAACTGTGAAAGTTATTGTGGCAGCAAAGACCTTTCTAAATCTCACCACCAGTTTGCTCATTACATATACACCATCTATTAACCCACGGAACATCATTGCTGTGGCCATGGTGATGGAAAATGAAGCAAAAGCCACGCTGGCCAGAAAACTGAAAACAACAGCAGCCGGTGAGTCATTTGTATTGTTGATAGACGATGTTTTTGTTTTCAGAGCAGCTAAAACTCTGACCTCTGAGGTAGGAATATGAGACTGGCAATTGGGCAGTAAACAGGGGGCCCAGTCCTGGTTGTGGCCCCGGCAGAGGGATGTTGGGCTCCATACAGAACCTTGCTGGGCCTCAGCTGTCACATGTGAGGACTAGATTACTACAGGATCCTGGACTGAGAGCTAGAAGTTTCCATTTAGGCCAATCCGTTCCTTTTACAGATGAGGAAACCGAAATGGAGTGCTGGAGACGTTCGGGTCGTTAGCACCAAAGCTGCTGCCAGCTCGAGCATTTCCAATTCTGTGATGTTAGACTATAATCTGATGAGTTTACAAACTGCTGTTGGTGTATGTTTAATTAATTTTTATGGCTAATTTATTTTAATTAACATGAGAAAAGATAAAATAACATGGACTATATGTTTACCATGTGAAATAATTAGGTATGGACAAATCATTAGAAATTATGTAACCCAATAGAATGTAAGCATCCTGAGGGCAGGGTATGCCTTCCATTTGTGGTATAGCACTCCTACCTGGTAGAATTAGAGGTTAATAGACTTATGGCTAGAAGGAGCCCTGAGTTCCATCACGTCTATATCTTCTCTTTACAGGTGAAGAAACTGACAGGCAGAGAGGTTAAGTGACTGACCCAAGGCCACACAGGTCAAGGGGCATTTATGGAATCCCCCAAATGCAGTGCTACCTTCACTGTGGCATGCTTCTAAATAAATGTTCATTGATTAATAATAAAAAATAATAACTACTGACCATTTATGTAGCTTATTAATATTTTAAGGTACAGATCACAATTGAATCTCAGAACAGCATTATGAAATTGGTATTAGAAATATTACTATCCCCATTTTACAGAAGTAGCATTGGAGGCCTTGATATATAAAGTAACTTGCCCATGATCACATAGATACTAAGTGTCAAAGATGGGTTTTGAATACAGTTCTTCCTAATTCAAGTCCAGTACATTATCTGTTACACAAGACTAAATTGAATTGAACTAAATTTTCTTCAATCATACATCATAATTTTAAAAATTCTAATGCATTATGTTAGAATGTTGATACTTGGATTTAAAAAATAATTTAATAATTATATATATATATATATATATATATTTTAAGGTTGTGTACCACATCACAAGATCTGCATAGACCCAGTATTTGTGATTCATCTGCCCTGACTTTGAACCTAATTCCTTAAGTCCCCTCAGTTCCCGGTTGGTGTATATCTGATTTCATTCAATTCAACAAACATTTACTGGGCATCTCAGATGAACAAAGCACTGTTCTGGATGCTGGAGCTGATACAAAAATAAATGGCCATTCTTCTCACAGAGCTTATAGTCTACTAGTAAGAACTGATATATGCACATGTAACTATAATACAAAACCAAATATGATTAAGTATAATATTCAACAGATGCTATAAGGAAGGTATAATGAAGTGTAGAAAATTAACGGCATGTTAAGTAGATAAGCAACCGCTAGTATGGAGCCTTTCATATAGTAGGTACTTAATGAATAAAAAGATAGTTTATGGTGTTTAATGGGTATTGAAAGGATTTTTACTATTATCAGTCATCACTCTTACTAGTTATTGAAATGACAAGTGTGGAAGTTAAGTGAGTGCATGAGTAGGTTGGAGAACAAGAGTATTGCAGGTGGTAACAAGGTGCAGTTATAAAAATTGCTGGCTTTGGATTCAGAGGCTATGGGAAAGCTTCAAATCCTGCCTCTTTCACTTACTACCTGGCTTAGTTGGTCTCCAGCATCCAATGAGAGATCACAGTGGACAAAATCTGAGCAAAGCAGGTCCTTAGAAAAAGGGGAAACAACAGTGGCCAGTGGGCATTCAAGGATATGAGAAAGCATCATTTTAGGCAAAATTAGAAAACCTATAAAATATGGCCTTGTCTTGAACTATTGGCACCTATAGACTCTGAATCTCTTAACAAATGACAATAAAAGCTGCATCCATTACTTTACCCACAAGAAAGCTCTAGAAAGCAATATTTCTATTCTGTCCAGTCTAAAATATCAATGTAATTTTTGTTGTTGTTGTTCAGTCATGTCTGACTCTTTATGACCTTATTTGGGGTTTTCTTGGCAAAGATACTGGAGTGGTTTGCCATTTTCTTCTCCAGCTCATTTTACAGATGAGGAACTGAGGCAAACAGAGTTAAGTGAATTGCCCAGGGTCACATAGCCAGTAAGTATCTGAGGCTGGTTTTGAACTCAGAAAGATTAGTTTTCTTCATTCCAGGGTCAGCACTCTATCCACTGTGCCGCCTAACTCCCTCTATCAATATAATTACCAGAATCCATGCCAAAGTGAACCAGAATTTATCAGGGTAACCTAATATCCATCATAAAAAAATATCCATGCTTTAGAATGGCTAAATCCTATTGTATATCCACATGTAAATATTATACTGATCTTTAGATAAATACTTTTGGGAGGCATAAAACAGCTTGCTTTCATTATGTATAAAACTTCAGCAACTGTAAACAGCAAATGGTTAATTTTCAAAATTCAAACTCCATTTTGAATTAAAATTTTATTTTCTATATGTCTTGGAGGATGTCTTTAGCTTTTATAAATTTACATTGATATGTACAGTGGCTTTTTGATTTTGTTTGCAACTTCATATTCGACTATTAATAAGTATTTGTTAAGAACCTACTATGTGCCTAGGTGCTGAGGATACAATGACACACACACCAAAAAAACCCCAAACAATTCTTGCCCTCCAGGCACTCAAAATCTATTGCTGGAGACAAGATACAAATAATAATAATAATAATAATAATAATAATAATAATAATAATGATAAAATAGTGGCTAAAATTTATATAATACCATGTGCTAGGTACTATGCTAAGTAAGCATTTTACAGCTGATCCTCACAACAACACTGTAAATACTATTATTATTCCTATTTTATAGATGAGGAAACTGAGGCAAACAGGATTAAGTGATTTGCCCAGGGTCACACAGCTAATAAGTGTCTGAGACCAGTTTTGAAGTCATGCCTTCCTAACTTTAGGCCCAGTGCTCCATTCACTGTGCCATCCCTAAATATATACCAAATAAATACATAAATTCAAGATAAATTTTGGGAATGAGAGTAATTGGAGGGATCGAGAAAGGCCTTGAGTAGAAGATGACCCTCGAGCTGTGCTTTGAAGGAAATTAGAGATTCTAAAGGACTAAGAGATGGGGTGATGAGAGAATTCATTCCAGGTATGAAAGGTAACCTATGAAAAGGCACAGAGATAAGAGAAGGCATATTATATGTCAAGAAGGCTACATTGAATGAGTAAAGAAGAGTAACGTATTATAATAAGTAATATATATATAAGACTGGAAAGCTGGGCCAGAGCCAAGTTGTAGTGGGCTTTAGATGCCAAACAGAAGATTTTTTATTTGGTTCTAGAGGTAGTAGGGAGCCAGTGGAGTTTACTGAACATCAGAATGACATGGTCAGATTTGTACTTTAGAAAAGTCGTTTTGGTGGTATGTGGAGATTGTATTAGAGTTGTGAGAAATTCAAGACAAGGACAGATTATAGAATAGTTCAGGAGAGAATTAATGCAGGCATAAACTAAGGTGGTGGCTGTGTTAGTTGAGAAAATTGGAAAGAGATGAGAAGATTGTGGACATAGAGTTGATAAGACTTGGCAACTGATATGTGGGGTAAAGAAGAGTGAGAGGAGGCAAGGATGACTCCTTGATTGTGAAGCTAGGTAACTGGAAGGGTGGTTGTACTCTCAACAGAAATATGGAAGTTCAGAAGAAGGGTGTGTTTAGGGGGAAAGATAATGAGCTTTGTTTTAGATATGTTGAGTTTGAAGTTCCTATAGAATATCCAATTTGAATGGTCTGATAAGCAATTAGAGATGTGCTACCAGAGCTCAAGAATGAGTTATAGATTGGATTATAAATCTAGTGGTCATCTGCATAGAGATAATATTTAAACCTGAGGAGGCCACCTAGAAAGAGAGTGTAGAGAGAGAAGGGAGGCCAGGACCATACCCTGGGGTTCATCTACAGTAAGGGGGCTTGATATGGATGATAATCCAGGAAAGAAGACTGAAAACAAAATGGTCAGATAGATTAGGAAGAGAGCCAAGAGAGAGCAGTGTCATTAATGTATTTGATCAAGAGGAGAAGGAAGTCAACAGTTTTAGATGCTGCAGAGATGTCAAGAACATTGAAGAGTGAAAAAAGGTCACTAAATATGGCAGTTAAGAGCTAGTTAATGCCTTGAAGAGAACAATTTCAATTGAGTTGATGAGCTTAGAAGCTAGATTGCGAAGAGTTTAAAAGTTAGCAAGAGGAAAAATGAAGGCAAGGAGAGAAGACTTTTTTTCACCCTAGGAGTTTGGCCATGAAAGGAAGGAGAGATCTAGGATGATAGCTTGAGGGAATAACAAGGTTAGTGAGGGTCATTTTTTGGGTTTGGTTTGGTTTGGTTTGTTGTTGTTGTTATTGTTTTCAATGATGGAGAGACCCCAGTGCGTTTATGGAGAGTTTGAAGATTAGAGGGCGCATGGTGATTATGGAAGTCTACTGCCGGGGGAGCTAACCAAGAATGGAAACTAGGAAGATAATAATACTCCGATGTCATTCCCATACTTTGTATTCTAATTTTAATGCCCCTCTTTCATTTATTTATTTTTCTTCAAAAGGACTGGTGGGTTTGGCTCCAGGGTCCATCTTGGGTCACAGAGGTCACAGTGTGGCTAAGAGATTTGTAATGAATCTCTGAAGTGATCCATCATGAGCACAATATTCTAGAGATTCCAGGTTCCTCCCATTCTATGTTAGCTATCTCTCACATAGAGAAAATGGAAGGGGTTTGTCCTGTTGGTATACATCTCCTTGGGGTTTGGTTTGTTTCCACAGAAGGAAAAAGCAAGACTCCAAAGGAAATCCCCCATGATGAAATATGAATGTCTTCCCTCTTTGTGGAAGTTTTCCTACCAACACCATTCCCCTTTCCTTAAGGTTATGCCTGTTTCAGAAGTCAGGCACTCTGACAGCACCACCACCAGCCTTTGTCCATCCAGTTTCCTTTCAAGGTTTAGTCAGCTGATCCGGAAGTCAAAGGAACAGTTTGTAGGAACTTCAGATGCTGGAAGTACTGGGTATAGCTCAGCAGAAGTATCTAATTCCATCACTGTGATGTGATCATGCCTCCAACAACAGTGCAGCTGACATCTGGGCCTTCCTTTGTCTCTCCTCTTCAATTGCAGGGATGGTAGAAATAAAAACTGAGCCTTCTGGGGCAAGCTGGCATTGATGACCTAGCTGAGCACATTGGCCACCAACTAGGTTAGTTGGAAAGAATTACCTTTATTGGGTGGTTATTCTGATGAAGGAACTTACTAACTAATACCAGTAGTTCAAGATTAGAATTACTTACAGTCTTCACATTGAATCCCCCTATACCTGAGGATTTTACAGTGGGTCTGGTCCCTGGTCAAATATGTTAATAAGTTTCATCAGCTATAAACCCTCTTGAGCTGGGAGGAAGTAGTTTTGTAGGAAATGATTATCTTTCTCCACTCTAGGGAGAATTCTTAACCCAAATGAATAGAGAATAAAAAGCATAACAAAACCCAAAAAATAGACAATTTTGAAAATATGAAATGAAGAAGCTTTTACACTCAAACAAAATCATTTCGGATAGATCAGAAAAGAAACTGTACAGTGAAGAAAAGATTTGTTCAAATATCATTGATAAAACTGTGATACCTAGGGTAACAGAGAAATGATGCCAATATAGAAGACCTAGAGCCAGTCCTCGATAGACAAGTAGACTTTTTTTCCAAAAGAATTGTAGAGTATAGTATGAAAACATATGAAGACATGCTCCAAATTGCTAATAGAGACAAATGTAATTAAAACAAGTTTGAGGTTTCATGTCACACCTTTCAAAATGGCAAATATTAGAGAAAAGGTGGACAGTTCATGTTAGAGAGACTATTGTGCCTCTGTTGCTAGGGAAGACTGACACACAAATAAATGCACTGTTGTTGAAGCTATGAATTGGTCTCATTTTAAATATCAACTTGAAATTATACAAAAACTTACTAAACTGCTCATGCCATTTGACCCAGCAATCCTGTTGCTGAGTATTTATTCCAAAAAGAGTCAAAGACAAAAAAAAGTTCCAACAAATACCAAAATATTAATGGAAATGCTTTTTGTGGTAACAAAGAACTGGGGTGGGGGGGAGGGTAATGAAGCACTCGTTAACTGGGGAAACACCTTAGTTTTTTATGTGTAAAATAAGGAAGTTGAACTTTATGGCCACTGAGGTGTCTTAACATGCCCTCCATGCATTTATGTTCCTATGAATGCCTATCAAGCTTTGGAATGTGAATGTAACAGAATGTTATTGTAAGAAATAATGATTATGAGGAATCACAGGAATCTGAGAAGATTTGTACTAACTGATGCAAGGGTGAAACAAACAGAACCAAAAGAACAATATCCACATTGACTAAAACAATATCAATAAGACGGTCAATGAAAATGAAACCAAACTCTTAGTAAATAAAAAACAAATAATGGAAAAATAGATAATGAAATAAACCTCTGTCTTCTCAGCAAAGAGAGAGAAGATCTCTAGGGTAGAGGGCTATATACATTGCCAGATGAAGTAACTAGTTTTGCTTAACAGTTAACTTCAAGTTAATTATAACTATGTTACAAAGGAGACTTCCCTTTCAGGGTAAGGGTTAAGGTTATGGAGGAAGGGTTATGTTTCTAGAAATAATTGTGATATAAAAATAAAATTCATTAATAAAACTGTTTTTTAAAGGGGGCTGTAAAGGAAATAAAAAATTAGCAGGATCCTCTCCTATATTTCAAAGAGCAATTTCCCTAGGTTAAGATCCTAATTAAGCAGCTCTCAGGTGGTATATTTTCTATGTTTACATACATTGCTATATTTGTTAATTGAGTCCTTTTTTTCTAGACATCAAAGATGTGATAATTTGGGGTAATATTACCGGCTCTCATTATGTTGACCTGAGGAAAGCAAAAGTTTTCAGATATAACAGTGCTATTTGGGGACCTCCAAGCTATTCACGTTACCTATTAAGCTTGATATTTGATAGGTATGGCATATTTTAAGTATTGTATACTAATCACTATATATTAATGGATGGTAAAATTTTCAAAGCCTTTAAAATAATTTTCAAATATCTTTGTTTCTACAAAAATGTGATTTAACCATCCAACTTCCCCATATTTACCATGCTACCAATTGAAGTGAATAGATTAGATATATCCATATGGATCAAAAGCCTGGCCACTATAATTTTTATATTTAACTCTGAATTATATTCATGTGTTAATTGTGTGTGTGTGTGTATGTGTGTAATTTTCTAAAACTTCTCATTGAAAATATTTTCAATCATAATTGTTTTAGGATTAAGGGGAACCAGAAAAAAGATCACAAAAATGTTTGGATTTTTGATCCAATTCATTTTACTCCATTTGGCCTGGCAGAAGTTCTTTCTGGGATATATTTTTTAAAAAAATTTATCCACAGGTATGTCCTTTTATTCTAGTCTTAAGACAGTTGGAATCCAACCCCACTCAGCAGAGCTGTAGGCAATGATAAATGACGTCTGTCACCTCACGGAATCAATTTTGCAGACTGCTTTCCATAGTACTGCAAGATTATCCCATGTGCACTGCGTGCTTTAACATATTCTGATAGAGATGTAAAACTGTGACCTGGAATGTGTACATATTGTTTAGTGAAGTGGATGACAGAATCATGAATTTCTTGGCCATAGCAACTCTTAAAGAACATCTACTTATTTCCATCAATGAAGGGAATACCCATAGTGACAAAATGATACATTCTTGAATTATTGAAGTAGTCAACAATAGACAAGATATATTCCATAGTGTGTATTTTTGCATAATGCGGTGGAAAATACACTGTTTAAATAGGAACTTAATCTGCCTACAGACTTATTTAACACTTTAGTATCAATCATTCAACAACCATTTATTATTTATGCACTTTGTGCAAAAAAAAAAGTGCAGTGTGCCAGAGAAAATACAAAAGTAACTAAGGCATATTCCCTGTCCTCATGTAACTTATAATCTACATACACAATCATATAGAATATAAAGCTAGTATGTGACAGAGCTCTTAGGGTAGAGTTAGTGTGTGATTGTACTTATGTTAATGTTTCAGTTTTCCAGACTTTTGAATTGGAGTTCATTGTTTTTGTTTCTTTTTATTTTAAAGAAGCATTGTATTCTAGTAAAATTATCACTTTCTCTTCTTGCAGTGAGTGGATCAGCAAAGAATTCGTGAACTCCTTCAATGTGTTGAGTTCGACAAGGCGTTTCCAAAGGGGTATTTCAACGGCACACAGTGTAGCCACTATACTGAAGTTCTGGTACCACGATTCCCCTCCAGGGGAGATTTTCTCTCTAGGACTAATGAGTGAAGGTGAATCTTTGTTTCTCTTATCATATAATAAGATATTTCTTTTTCCTGTGCAGAGGACAGCCTGCATAATCATGTATACTCCCATCTGAACACAGCACCACCAGGTGTCTGATTCTTTTCCTTGGATTGACTTCCCCTGGTGAAGGAGGGCCTAAAAAGGCCTCGTATTCCCTAAGGCTCCCTGGAATGGGTCTGGAAAGATCTAATCGTGTTACCCCTCTTGAACGTCTCCATCTTCCTTTCTCCCCTGGACCTCTCGCATAGGTGTCAGTTGTTTAGTCCAGGAGTATCAAACTCAAATAGAAGTGGATCTCAGTGGGCCACATATTGACTTAGAAAACCACAAATTAACATTACTTGCTTTGTATTCTATTTTTGGCAGCTAGATGGCAAAGCTGATAGAGCATCAGGCTTGGAGTCAGGAAGACTCCTCTTCCTGAGTTTAAATCTGGCTTCAGACACTAGCTGTGTGATGTTGGGCAAGTCATTTGACCCTGTTTGCCTCAGTTTCCTCATCTGTAAAATGAGCTGGAGGAGAGAATGGCAGACTATTCGGGTATCTTTGCCAAGAAAACCCCAAATGAGGTCACAAAGAGTCAGGCACAATTGAACAACAAAAAATTTATTTTTATTTATTTTGTTAAACATTTCCCAATTACATTTTAGTCTGGTTCTGGCTGCATGCAAGGGCCAGGGCCACACTGCGTTTCACATTTCTGGTTTAGCCCTTTAAATGTTATAGAGATAGACAATAAATGGTTATTCATTAACTGACTTTCTGTGAAAACCGTCCTCCCCCTCCCTCTCTAAGAAAACAACTCTCATCCTGAATATGAAATTACTGACTTTGTAACTAATTGTAGAGCACAACTTATTTATAAATTGAAGACTCCCTAAGTTACATACTTCTGTATATCTAAAAAAAAGGACTTTCATATTTCTATTTTAGGGATATAAATAAAAGATAAAGTTTTAGTTGAATATGTAATTTGCTCATTAACATGATAAAGAGTGTTGTGCTAGATCTGTGATCAGAATTCTTAACTTTATTAGGAGCCAGAGGCTCATGGGATTTTGAACTGCAGCTACTTGAGAGAATCACAAGATCTCAATTAGACCGGACCTCAGAAGCCTTTGCTCAGCCCTTACCTGAGCGAAGATAACCTCTAAAACATACCTGACAGTCATTCAGCCTTGCCTTAGGGACCTTGAGGAAAGGGCAGCACATTACCTCCTGAGGGAAGCCATTCTGCTTTTTTTTAAAGACAACTCTAATTGTTAATAAAGGGCCACTAGATGGCACAGTGAATAATGTGCCAGGGCCTGGAGTCAGGAAGATTCATCTTCCTAAGTTCAAATTTAGCCTCTGACACTTACTAGCTAGCTGTGTGACCCTGGGCAAGTCACTTAGCCCTGTTTACCTCAGTTTTCTTATCTGTAAAGTATGTTGGAGAGGGAAATGAAAAACTACTCCAGTGTATTTGTCAAGAAAACTCCATATGGGGGTCACAAAGGGTCGGACATAACTGAAAATGAGTGAATAACAATTGTTAGTAAGTTCTTCCTTACCTCAAGCCTAAATCTGCCTCTTCAACTTCTAACCAGCTCTTTAGGTTCTGATTTCTGTTGCCAGTGAGAGCCAGTGTAATGCCCCTTCCATGTAAAGCCTTTGAAATACTTCAGAACAGCTATTACTGCTCACCCTTACTTCTAATGCAGAGCTATAACTTGGTCAGGGGAGTGAGGGTTTTTTCCCAGACTACCCAAACTCTAGGATATCCTTGGTTCACCTTGCTCAATCCCCTGGCAGTGACTTCTTAGCAGCAGCTTCAGTGCATCAATGGGTCTCTTCCCCAACCCAGGATGGTTACCTGGGATCTTTCCCCACAATAGGGCTTTGTGTCCAAAGGAGGCATCTCCTTAAAGTCTCTCCCCAAAGTTTCCCTGAGCCTACCACTTGCCTCTGAAAAATGAGTAGCTACAGCTCTGCCCTGAAGCCTTCTTCCACAAAGTAGACACCCCCAGTTCCTTCAGTAGAGCCTCTTCTGGCATGATCTTGAAGCGCTTGCCCATTCTGATGGTCCTCTTTGGGAGATCATCTGGCCCAGTGCACTTATTTTATAGAGGAGGTTACTGGGTTCTACAGAAATTAATTGACCTGTCTGAAGTCACATAGAAAACAGGAGCAGACCTTGTTCCAAACCTGGTACCCTTTCTAGTGCGCCTTACTTCTGGTGCAATCTTATTTTTGTCATTTGTCTTTCATTCATGTCAATAGTAGTAGCACAGATAATACAAGAGAGTGGCTATTACCCCCTAGGAATTTCCTCCCTGCAGGAGTTCCATCTGAGTATGGAACATAGAATCTGGAACCACTCCCAATAGGCGGAATATTGAAGTAGGCCCAAGTTGGGCACCTTCAGCTTTCCTTTTCACTACTCTGGTGTCTTCTCTCTTATCTCTTTCAGATCCCCAGGGACTTTGTTCTATAATTCCCCTATCAATAACCTGCTCTTATGAAAGGATCTGATTTCAGTAATTTACAAATGAGTGTGAATGTGTCATTAAGTTCCATTTTATGTTTTATGTCTAATTGTAAAAGGGATCTTCTTAAAGGGATTCTAAGTATCAATAAGCAGGTAATGCTGATATTTGAGGCAATTTGGCACTTTCTCAGAGAAATCAAACAGTAAGTAAAACGTAGAGATGGGAGGCTGTCTTAAAGTTGCGAGAAATTCCGTTATTTTCACTCTTTTAGATGTATGTCTCCTTAATGAAGTCCTCCTGTTTATCCCAGTGGACAAGAGTGAGAATGATTCATAGAATGTTAAAATTGGGAGCCATGTTGAAAAGCATCTAGTCCAACCCTGCCCCCTCCCCCCATATTAAAAAATGAGAGGCGAGACCATCTGCCTAAGTTAGGTCATACAAGTACTGCCACTGGCAGAAGAGCAGTTATATCCAGGTCCTCTCATTCACGGTACAAGGCTTTTTTCATTGCACAACACTGCTGGGAAGCCAACCGTGATTTCTGGTTTGACAAACAAAAAATATTCTACATAAAAGGAGCAAAACCAAAGTTGAATGTTGAGTGCTCACTACCAGTTACTTTCCCATCATCTGCCATAGCCAGGTTGCAATGATTGTTTTCATGAATATTCAGTATTTAGCTGGAAAATCACCATGCCTGTAGTCCCTATTCCTTCCCTTCTAAATCAGATAATTTGGCCCATAGATAATATAAAACTGCCTTGGGTTAGAATATGGGCAAAGGATGCAAACAGACAGGACTTCATGAGAGATAACATGGGAAATGTAGACTGTCAGCTCAGGAAACGTGGGCAGGAGAAAATGGTCTTGGGGCCAACTAGGTAATAGGTCCCAGAGCCCATACTGAATCTGCTGTCACTAAATCTACACGTGCATAATCCAGGCATAGACAATCAAGAACTGAACAGGTTGCAGTAGAACTAAATGATTAACAGAAAACTGGTAGAAGAGATTACCTTCTGATAATTCAGCATAATCATCATCAAAAATATTTATTGTGGGTCATTTTATAATTTGCATATTCATAGGACAGTAAAGAAGAAACAACTTAATTGCATTTATTATTCATTGTCTTGTGGGTACACTCCAGGTGAATTCGGCACACCTGAGGGACTGGTGTATTCCATGCCAGTACGATGCATGAATGGGGTATGGTTTCCTTGTACGGATTTGCCTGATACTGAATTAACTGAAGATGTTAAGAAGGCAATAATCCATGATCTTGAACAGGTAATTTCAGAAAAGATACAAGGAAATTAATTTTGCTAATGTAATTGGGGGGGTGGAGGAGGCAGAATTTAATTCCACACATATTCCAGCCTAAATGATGTAGTCACAGATGACAAGGTGTTGATGTGGTCCCTTTACAAAGTATGAACATCTCTTTCTCTTTCTCTCTCTCTCTCTCTCTGATGGATTCAGAAGGGGCAATGCAATTGGCTGGGCTGTCATCAGTTGACCATACCCTTGCAAGGTCTTAAATAGCTAAGCCTTGGAGGCAGATGATACAATTCTAGGAGCCACCAGACAGGAAAGAACCCAGTTCTTTAGTATTAGAACAGAACCTCTGTTCCAACACTATTCATGTCTGATTGGCCCAAACTGTCCATGCTGGCTCCCTTCTCTGTAGCATCTGCCTCTGCTTATATGTTCATTCTCGGTTCCATAAAACTTCTGGCAGCCTCCCCTTCTCCATATCATGTGTTATGAGAGAAATTAATGTTATACTATTATGTTAATAATTATTAATTTGTGACACACCCTTTTCCTTTTATTTCTGTTAAAAGCAAACTTCTTAAAAGGTCAGTCAGCCTCTGAAGGGCATGGCTGACTGATGAGATTGCTCCCAGCCCTCAAGACACAAGCTCTTTAAGACCCCACCCAACTTGGAGACCTAATTTCTGTTTAGAATATAAACAGAATCCTGTCTGGGTGAGCCTCCACCTGGGGGAAGAACCCCCTGTCCTTGATCCCTTCCATTAGAGTTTAGGGCAACCCAGCTCATGAAGGAGAAAACTAGCCATTGAGGTCCAGATGGAAATGGCTTTCCCTCCCCAGATGTTTTGAGGTGGCTGAGTCTCATGATCAAGCCATGTTCTCAGCAGGATTGGTTGAAGAATTTTAGCCTACCCTCCTCATCAAATATCCACCAATCAGGATTGAGTTTCACTTATTAGGGAAGTTCCCTTTCCGAAGAGATTTGAAGCATTTCAAGGTCTTCCGTGGGATCTTTGGTTACCAAGAGAAACCACTGACCAATTTATTGATTATAAGCTAGCCTAATTAATAAATTGATCATTAATTACTCAGAAATTCTGTCTCTTTGGGTTTTCATTGTCACTGTTTTCTGTGTGTCTCATCCAGACCTAGTTTCTTTGTCAAGTCTGACTTCCTGGACTTACTTAACTAATCTTCAGTTAGATCCCCAGGGGTGTGACCGATAAATCTTCCAACTATGATGTTGCTTCCTTATCCATTCAGGGGATTTGTATGTACCTCAAAAAGGGATCAGCTGGTGTGGAAACAACTTTGCAGTTAGTTTAATACCTTTCTATCAGTTCCTTTTGTGTGATAAGATCCTGGGTTTTCAAAACCAATTCCCTTGGACTCTTTTTCTAGCTAAAGAGAGGAATTTGTTTTTGATCCTGAATGTAACTGAGAGTCACTAGTTATGAGATATGATCAAATTATGAGATATCTCATTCTATGAGGGAAATCATTAACAGTCTAGGTGAGAGGTGATAAGGGCTTGAATTTAGCTTTATTGATATTGCACTAGTTTAAAATAGTCTCAGTGCCCAGTTTATTTCTTCCTGGAAATGATTTTTGTTGTTGTTTTGATCTGGACCTATGATTTCATGCATATGGGGAACTCCCAGTGTGGATTACCTGATATAGATTAGCAGTTTATCTGCAATTTAGAGTCTTAGAGAGTTGTCTAGGTGACACTGAGGGGTTAGATGACTGGCCCAAGGTTACACAACCTCTATGTGTCAGGGGTGGAACTTTAACCCAAGTCATCCTGACTCCAAGGACAACCTTTTGGGAGGGAACGTGGTATACAGAGAATACTGGCTTTGGAATTGGATAACCTAGGTTCAAATTCCACCTCTGAGGCTTTATACCTGTGGGATCTTGAACTAATCTCTCTGTGCCTCAGTTTCTTCTTTTGCTACAAAATAGAAGAGTTAGACTAGATGAACTTTAAGGCCTCTTCTAATTCTAGAGCTGTAATCCCCAAGGTACTACACCATGATGCCTCTTGAAATGGCAGCTTCATAAACACATCATTGCTCCCCTCGAGGATCTTCAGTGTAATATGGGAAATAAGATATACACAAATAGAAAATACTAACTGTAGAAGAGATACACAGATGACATGGTACGATAAATACAGGGCCAGAGAGATTGCTTCCAGCTGAGAACTTGGAAAAATCTTCATGGAATTCTCTCTGAAGACAATCTCAAAGGAGATCCCAATGTTCTCTGAGCAACACTCATGGAATTGTGCCACCTGCCTCCAAGGAATTAGTGTGCAGCCTCCCCAGACTCATGACTTTGAATGACACTACTTGCTCTGGTATATTCTTTCTAGATTGTTTGTGAAGAAATGTTTGATTGCTTTATAATCACATTTCAAATTACCTCCATGCCATTTATTTGCTCTGTATTTAGCTATTTAAAATAATAAGTAAAATATTTTATTTTAAAAAGTGATTACATTACTAATGGTGATCATCAAGAGGTAACATGGCATCATATAGAGAGAGCCAGGTCTTTTGATCAGAAGGATCAGGATTCAAGATTTTCCTCTTGTACACAGTACCTGCATGATCACATGCATGTCACTTAAGCTCTGAATCATTGTAGATCTTCACTGGCAAAGGGGCTTTCCACACCAGTAATTGTATATTAGGGAAATCTCCAGCTGAGACCAAAAAAATCAATGATTATTGATTATAGTATCTGTGCTTTAATCATGTCTTTTTTTTTTTAAACAGGAAAAGCTCATTGCATTTGGAGAAGTATTAATTTACCAGCCATACATTCCAGGTAAAATTTTAGACGGAATTTTTTTAAAATGTTGTCACAAAAGAAATTATTGTAAGAGGTATTTAAGATATGGATTTCCGAGCTAAATTTTATTATTTTTAAAACTTAGTTCACTAACGATCTACTTTGATGTCTCATAACAATAATAAAGATAGCAACGATAATTGTATAGCACTCTGAGGTGTGGTGGTGACCCTGTGCTCTCAGAGTCTATGCCGGTATGGTACAAGCTCAGATAAAGCTTGTCATGGGCTCCTTGAATAATTCCAAGCCTGTGGTTTGTAAAAACATCATCAGGATGATTGAAGGGTAATGAACTGAATGAATAATTAAACTTAATCATTATGCGTCTTGGAGTTTGCTGCCTTGGATGATTTTTCTGGAGGTGATCTGTGAATTCTTTCAATTGGAGTTTTGTTTTCTATATGCACAAGTTCTCTTCTATTATTTCCTTCATTATGGCATTAAGGTTTTTATTGTCTTGTCATGTTCTTCTGGGAGAGCTATGATCCTTAGGTTGTCTCTATGCACTTTGTCTTCAAGATCAGGATATTTTGCTTGCATGCAGGCATATTTTCTTCTACTGTTATTGTTTTTGCTTCCCTTCTTCTAGATTGTCTTTCACTTCTATATATTTGCATTCCCAATCTTTAGTCTTCTCTATGTTTCTTTGGTGAGATTTGCCATCAAAGATTACAGTTTTTCTATTCTGCCCATTATTTTTGCTGTGCAGGCCATAAATTCTGCTCTCATAATTCTCATTTCTCTTTTGAACCGCTCAGAAACAGCATATAGTAGTTCCATGGTCTCAAATTTCGAGGGTTCTCTGTCTCATCAAGTTCTAGATTATTGTCCTTTATTTTGTGGTATTTATTTGTAGATTCCTGTACTCATTTAATAGATCTAGAGGCCACATTTCCTTCTGTTGTTACATTTTTCCTGTTGACTTATCTATTTATCATCATGGTCTTTGAGTTTTCTTCTTCCTGAAACCTATGGTTATTTTAGTCTCCCTGTCATCACCCTCCTCCTTATTTTTCTTATCACTCACTTTCTAACTTCTTCTCCTCTAATTGTAATTTCCTAGGAGGGTTGGATCTCAAAGTATCCCAGACTCCTCCTACTCTAAGCAATTCTTGGCAAACCTAAGAAATTAAACAGTCAGTATTGTAAAGTATAAAGAGTATGATGATCTGTTCATCTATTTTTGAACTCTTCATTTTTATTTAATTTGTATATTTTACTAGCTGAACTCTTACCACGTGAAAACAGAGTCAGAATCCAGATTGATGAAAACAAGGATGAAGATCAAAAGGAGCAAACTGGTAGTAATTAATTTAATTAAAACTTCACCATTTTCATCCCCAAATACTAAAATTCAATCTTGTGGGGATAAATATGCAAATCTGTTGCTTGCTCATAAAATGGGATCAAAGAATATCCCTCTCTGATCCTTCTCACAGAAAGGAGAAGGTATATTTGAAATATTTTTCATTCTTCAGAAAAAAAGCACTGTTGAAGAACACAATTGTCATTGATTTGTGCATACTATGCACACGTAGTAGGAAATACAAACGAGGGATATCCCAAAGTCTTAGCTCAGTTGTAAGTTTTAATTGTTTTAATAGTTTAAAACTGTCCTAAGGTGTTTGGGACACCCTGTATATCTTAGATTTGGTTTCTACCTTTGAGAAGCTTATCCTAATCAAGCTAGGAAAATAAGACCCAAATATGTGAAAAGTTAAATGACAGTATGATATTACTACTAAATGCAGTAACCCCCAAATCATTTGTTAGTTGTTCAGTGAATGATGCAGGCAGTAGGTGTTCAAAGGAAAGGCCAGACTGAGTTGACTGTCATTTGGTGCAGTTCCTTTTCCAAGGGATTGAGCTGAGTCCCAAAAGCAGAAAGAAGAAAAGAGAAGGGGAGGTGGCATTTGAGATAGGGGAAGATATCTACAAAGCCCATGGAGGTGGCAAAGTACAAGTCATTATTTGGGGAGCAGTGAATGGCCTATTTTTGCCAGAGAAGGAGGTTGGAGAAAATTAATTAGCTGAAAGTAAAACTGGGAAAGTAAATCGTGATTGTGGAAGTCCAGGTTAAGGAGTCTGACCTCAGTAACAGTAGGTGTTTGGGAGCCATGGAAATTTTAAAAGTGGGTACTGATACAATTGAAATAGTTTAGAAAGATCTACCTTGTCACAGTGTATAAAATGGATTAGAATAGGGAGAGATTGGAGCAGGAAGGACATGGAGGAGGCCATTGCAGTAATTCAGGGGTGGCTGGGCTAGGGCCTGAGTGAGGGGTGAAAAGAAGTGAAAAATACAAGAGATTCTTTGAAGGAAAAAATCCTCTGACTTACTGGCATAGGGTATGAGGGAGATTCAATGGCAGCTGCCCAGAGGAACCAAAGTGAGTCCTAGGTTTTGAGCCTGGATGACTGGAACAGTGCTTATGCCATGAACAGAAGTGGGACAGAGATTAGGAAGTAGAAGTGGTTTGAGGGGCAAAGGGATGGAATAAGCATTTCTATGGCACCTGCTGTGTGCCAGGCTCTGTGCTAAGCTCTTCTTACCAATATTACTTCATATTGATGTTGAAATCAGATTGATCCGTACAACGACTGCAAGGTGGGGGTATTGTTATCCCCCTTTTACAGTTGAGAAAACAGGCAGACCGATCTTGCCTGGAGTCATACAGCTGGCAAGTGACTGAGGCCAGCTTTGAACTCATGTCACCCTGACTGCAGGCCCAGGGCACCAGCTGCTGTGCCTCCAGCTGCCTCAGGTAAAAAGGTTAGTTTAAGACGTAGTGTTCAAAATGATGCTGGGAAGTGGGGGTGGTAATGTCTGCCAGCCAACTGGAGAGTCAGGACTGAAGTTCAGGGTTGAAAAATTCAGATTTTTGAGTCTTTCACATAGAAATGATCATTAAAAATGTGTGCAAGTGAATAAGCTCCCCAAACGAGGAGGAAATTTGAAGATAAAGAGGAGTATGAACATTTATGATGTGGAAGAACGGAGAGAAGCTTGAAAATGTGATGTCAGAGAGGTCAGAGGGGAAACAATTAAGGATAAAATGATAGGATTCCAGGGAGAAGAGAGTTTTCAGAAAGACTGGGGTGATAGCATTATATCAGGAAGTCAAGGACCAGAAAGACTGAGAAAAAAGCCATTGGATTTACTGATTTCGAGATCATTGGTGACATTTCAGAGAACAGTTTTAGGAGAATGAAGGAAACATACTCAGTATTGTAGAGGGTTAAAGATATAGTTGATGGTGAAGAACTTGAGCAGTGAGTTGTTTAAATCCAGGTCATTTATTATTAACATTATTTTCTGAATATAAAAACCATGTAATTTTTTATGTATGTGAGATCTGTATGTGTACACATAGCCACATTTACATATATATGGGCAGCTAGGTGGCGCAATGGCTAGAGCCCCGACCTGGAGTCAGGAAGACCTGAGTTCAAATCCAGTTTCAAATACTTACTAGCTGTGTGACCCCAGGCAAGTTACTTAACCCCATTTGCCTTAGTTTCCTCATTTGTAGAATGAGCTGGAGAAGGAAATGGCAAACCACTCCAATATCTTTTGCCAAGAAAACTCCAAAAGGGGCCACAAAGAGTTGGATACAACTGAACAATAGATGACATACATATATATTATATATATCAACATTTATTAAGCATCTACTATGTTCCAGGTACTGTGCTAAGTGTTATATGTAGGGTAGGGGGAGGAGAGAGAGAGAGAGAGAGAGAGAGAGAGAGAGAGAGAGAGAGAGAGAGAGAGAGAGAGAGAGAGAGAGGAAGAGAGAGAGAGAGAGGAGAGAGGAGAGAATTGTCTAGTTTTTCAGTTATCTTTTGACAAAGGTAACCTTTGCTCATGTAAGGAGAAAGAAATACTGAATTTGAGCTAATCAGTTTTGAAATTGACTTCATGTACATATGAAAATATTCCTGTACATTATAACTAATGCATGCTTACATGATTAGCTTCTTACCCCTTAAAATTGTGCATCAAAAATTGTTTGAATGGCCCTCAGTTTTCTCATTTATTAAATAAGAAGTTGGGCTGGGTGGTCGCTAAGGGCCCTCCAAGCTCTGAATCTAGGATCTCATTCCACTCCGGCTAATTCCTTTGCTGAGACTCCCTGAATCACAAGTGGAGCACTGAGGGAGTGAATCCCAATGGTTGCTGTTAAGGATGCTTTTACAACTCTTGTGAATCCTGCCATTGCTCAGGGGCAGGAGACAGTGCTAAAATCCCTTGCATAGGAGGCTGTAACACTTAGACCAATACTGTTTCAGAATGATCTAGATTTTAGAACATCTGTGATTCCTAAAAGGCCATAGAAGAATGATTAACTATAAGCATTGAGTTTATTTTTTTCATTGCATTTTATTTTTTTTTTGCCTTAGAATTTTTAAACACAAGTTCTGTAGAAGTCTCAGAAGCTCAAAGTAGCCAAGAACCCTTAGAAGGTAGGTGATAAACATAATTAAAGCTGATATTGTATTTGTGCAGTAAGAGAGATGGCCTGCTGGGGTCTCTGTTATTTTCTGCTTGGAAAAAGTGGCCCAATGGAACCAAGTTGTCAGGAACAAAGCTCCGCCCCTTGGGACTAGGGTCCTTCCCACCAAATCCCTCAGCGATACCTGTTCACCCTCACAGGAAACAGTACATAAATGTTATGGATCTGGCCAGTGGGGGAGGAGGGAAGAGAGAGGGGAGGTGCCATTGACCCTGAGACCAGCTTCACATTAATATAATCTAACAGCAGTGAGAAGCCAAATTAGAACTAATAAATAAGAAAAGGAACCTATTATTACCTACAGAGAAGCCCAGATTCCAGGTTACATATTCTGAAGCTTTTCTATGTAATAAATTTTAGTAAATATAAAATTCCACTCAAGAAATTTCATTGTATAAGAGATCATAGATTATTCTGTGGTCATATCCAGAGGCTCACATCTAGTCTGTGATCTCTTCAGGTGGACTTTAGGAGTTTTCATTTCCATTGCCATCTAGACCCTAAACAGTGCTAACCAGGAACCAGGAAGACTTTATCTGTCATGGACTAGTAATTAACTTGTAGAAAAAAAAACACATCAATTGTGAATCATACAATAAAGGCACTCAAAAGATTCAAAAGCCACAAATGAATTAGAAAATTAGTGGCGTATAGCAATGCTAATGCAAAAAATTTTTGGATTTGGATACAAAGGTCCATTGTATCAGAATATGACTTAATCAATAAGCATTTATTAAGCATCACAGTATATATCAGACAATGGCTTAGGAACTGCAGATACAAAGACAAAAAGGAGACATTTCCCGCCCTCAAGCAGTTAACGTTTGAAGGGAGTGGCATGCTTATAAATATATACAAAATAAATACAAGGCACTACCATTATGTTGAAGCTAGGCAGTATAGTGGATAGAGTGCTAGTCCTAGAGTCAGGAAGACTTGAGTTCAAATCTGGCCTCAGACACCAGCTGTGTGACCCTGGGCAAGTCACTTAACCCTGTTTGCCCCAGTCTCCTCATCTGTAAAATGAGCTCGAGAAGGAAATGGCAAACCACTCCGGAATCTTTGCCAAGAAAATCCCAAAATGGGGTCATGGAGAGTTGGATATGACTGAAAATGACTGAACAATAACAATATATGATATCATGTGCATTGAAGTTTCTTTTTTTTAATAGATTAAAGTGCTCCCATCACAGGCCAGTTTTGTTTCTACTTTTTGGTGAGGCAATTGGAGTTAAGTGACTTGCCCAGGATCAGACAGCTAGTAAGTGTTATGTGTCTAAGGCTGGATTTGAACTCAGGTCTTCCTGAATCCAGGGCCAGTGCTCTATCCACTGCGCCATATAGCTGCCCCCATAGTTTTTAAAAATGTATGTTTTTCTTGGGGTAGATGAAATTAATCAGTAGGCTGAGGCAAAGTCCTAAGCTTTAGACTCCTTAATCCAGTTCTGGACCAGCCAAACAACACCCTACATGCCAGCAGGCATTTAAATAACTGACTGTCCAGGGAACTCATCATCCCACCCTTGGGTTTCTCCTTGGGTTCTTGCAGTTTAACCTCTGTGTCAAAACTTTGGGTCCAGGAGTAGAACTGATCACTTTGAGATTATGATTGGTGCTATGGATTGAAAGAGATGGCAGGGCAGATCCAGAACAGAGAATGAAGCTAACTATAAAACTAAGAGTGGGAACCAATCTAGAGTGGGATCCACATCATAACCTGAAAATTGTTGGTGTTCTAGAAGGGTTTGACTTGGTTTTACAGTAGTATTGTATGTGTAACATACTAAGAGCTAATCATACCAATGTAAAAAGTGGAAAAATGTTGGATTTGGAGACAGGAGACACCTGAGTTTGAATCCTACCCTTGACATTTATAAGCCCCATGACATTGGGCAAGTTCTTTAACCTCTCTAAGCCTTAGTTTTCCTATCTGTAAAATGGAAAAGAGTACTATCTGCTGTGCCTACCTCACTGGATTGTTGTGAAGATAAAATGAGATAACATATGTAAAATTCTTTGCAAATGTTAAAATGCTTTATAAATGTCACTTATTGTTATTGATAGAGTATCAGCTAACAGACTAGAGCCCATGAAACAGAAAGTTAAGCAGAGCATAGGTAGCCAAGCACATATTTAAATTGCTTACAAGTACTTAAATTGCCACATTCTTTTCCCCTCAGGAACTGAAAATGAATCCCTGGATAACTAAAAGAAAAATGCAGGCCAAGAATTACATTGTTTGGAAACAAGATATGATGTAGCAGGGGGTTACAGATGTCTACACTTGGGAAAAATACTGAGATGAGAGATTAAATGAGTTTTAGAATATAACAAGAGGTAACTACATGAGTGGCAACATTAATGAATTGTCAAAAGGAACCTATTTTCCATCTGTACTGACCTACTCTTTCATTATTTCATTTCTAAGTAGTAGCGTAATATTCATTTTCAAATTAATTACATGTATATTTTGAAACAAAAATATAATAAATTGTGTAATATAGTTGAGTCTGTTGCCTAGACTTTCATTAACTAAGAGCTGTAGAACATGCAAATCAAGATTCACATAATATTTGAAGGACCCTTAGTAATTCTTTTTTAAGTGTCAATTAAGAACCTCCCCATATCCACTCATTGATCATTTTAAATCTCTTACTGTCTGTCCCTTTTGAATATTTTGTAAACAGCAGTTAGGGTATAAGCATCCTTCTGAAAGTCTTAATTAAAGTAGACAATCTCAGAGATTTATGTTACTTCCTAGATGTAATGAAATATAGCATTTCTAAAACACAAAAGAATTTGGTTACTTTCTTTTTGCAGCAAGCATTCTTCTTAATATTTTCGCAAACAAATAATTGTGTCTATTTCCTAGTATTATTGCTGACAATGTGTTCCTCAAAACGGTGTAGAATGACAGAAGCTCTGCTGGAAAAACTGATGAACAGGCCCATTTCCATCCACAATCCTCCTTCACTTACATTCTCCTTGATACTGTCCTCAGCGCCTGAAAGATATTGAACAATATCAGAAGGGAATTTTTCATTTTAGAGTCTATAAATAAATATCATTACTTAAGATGTTGCCACTCAAAAGCACCTTGTCAAAAGATAGGAAATTAGCTCCCCTCCTCCCAGCCATGTCCATGCTTTCTTATTTTAATTAGCCTGTGTTGTCTCAGGGAAACAATTAGGAAACCTGAATTTTTAGTATGGTATTAAAAAATCTGGAGTCAGAAGACATGGGTTTGAATCCTGGAACCAGCTGGGTCATTTGAAGCGAGTCACACCTCTCAGGGAATCAGTTTCCTCACCTGTGAAATTAGAGAATTGGAATAGATGAGTTTGATGAGTTGATTGGGGGTGAAGGTGGAGGGGGTGGCAAAGTGAGGAAACTCCCTTTATCAATGCATATTGGCAGCTGCTTTGCTACTTACAGTCTTAGAGACCTTCCTGGGAACACTTAGAGGTTAAGTGACTTGTCTAAGGTTACACTGCAAGTGTGTAGCCAAAGTTTGGACTTGCGTCCAGATCTTGACTCAGAGGCCAGATCTCTATCCCGTATGCAACACTACCTCTGGGTAATATTCAGCCCAGCATTCTGTGATCTTAATCTTATCCTAGACAAATAACTGGAAATATAAACTTTTCAACAATGAGCATCTCTCTGTAAATAATTTTTATATCCTGATAATGACATGAAGAATACATGTATTATTTACATGCTACACCTAGGTATAGAGATATTAGAAAGGTCAGAATGCTTCTCAGAGTAAGGCATTATGTGAATAAAGAGATTGCTTTACATTTTTCAGTTTGTATCAATCCTATCCTGAAAGGCAATCTGAAATGGTGACTAGTGGACCTAAGACTCTGGTTCAAGTCCCTAGACAAACTACTCAACCTATCAGTGCCCCCAGGAAACTGTCGCTGAGTAGTTGCTGCTGCTGCTAATGTTAATAATAGCATTTATGTAGCCCCTACTCCGGAAGAGGCACTGTGCCAAGCACTTCACAGATATCCTCATTTGATCCTCACAACAACCTTGTGAGCTAGGTGCCATCATCATTCTCATTTTACAGTTGAGAAAATGGAGGCAAACAGAGGGTAAAGGTCACACAGTATCTGCAGCTGGAGTCTTCTTGACTCCAGGCCCAGCACTCTATCCAATGTACAATGTAGTTGCCTCTGACCAACGCTGGTGGAAGGAGCTTCCTTACTGGTTAGAGCCAATTAAATCAATAAACAGACAAATGAATCAATCAATAAATGTGAATAAGTGAATGAGTACTTAGATGAAGACAGGCTGATAGAAAAATAAATTTAAAGTAGCTTGTACATGTAGGCGCCATTGGCATAATAGTCAAATTCCCTCTCTAAACTACAGTAATCAAAACATAAAAACCAAATTTATCTGGAAAAAAAAGTTAAGAGTATCAAGGGAATTAATAAAAAATAAAGAAGATAGCCTAGCAGTACCGGTTCTCCAATAGTGGTAATCATCAAAACCGTCTGGTACTAACTAAGAAATAGAGTGGTGGATCAGTGGAATAGATTACATATACAATACACAGTAGTAAATGACCATAGTAATCTAGTGTTTGATAAAGGCAAAAATCCAAGTTTTTGGGACAGAACTCACAAAAAATTCTGGGAAAATCGGAAAGCAATTTGACAGAACAACATCTCACACAATATACCAAGATAATACCAAAAAGGGTACATAATTTATACATAAAGGGTGATACTAGGGGCAAATTAGGGAAACATGCAATAATTTTCCCATCAGGTCTGTGGATTTGGGAAGAATTTATGACCAAACGGGGGGGGGGGGATGTAAAAAAAGAGATACAGGATGTAAAATGGATAATTCTGATTACATTAAAAAGGGTTTGCACAAACAAAACCAATGCAGTGAAGATTCAAAGGAAAGTAGAAAACTGGAGGTGGGGGATGAATTTTTACAGCAAGTCTCTCTGCCAAAGACCTCATTTTTCAAATACATAGAGAACGAAGTCACCTTTATAAGAATATGACTCATTCCCCAGTTGATAAATGGTCAAAGGATACGAACAGGCAGTTTTCAGACCAAAAAAAATCAAAGCTATCTATAGTCATATGAAAAAAATGCTCTAACTCACTATTGATTAGACTCAAGCAAGGATGGGGAACCCGTGGCCTCAAAGCCACATATAGACCTTAGGTCCTCAGGTGTAGCCTTTTGACTGAGTCCAAGTTCTACAGGGGGATTTGTTAAGGGGATTTGTTCTATGAAGTTTGGATTCAGTCAAAGTGCCACACTTGAGGACCTAGAGGGCCACATGTGGCCTTGAGACCACAGGTTCCCTATCTCTGGAGAGAAATGCGAATTAAAACAACTCACACCTATCAGATTGGCTAATATGACAGAAAAGAAAAATGATAAATATTGGAGGAATGTAGAAAAATTAGGACACTAACGTATTGTTGATGGATTTGTGAACTGATCCAACCATTCTGGAGAACAATTTGGAACTACGCCCAAAGGGCTGTAAAATTGTGCATACCCTTTGATTGTTGGGACTACATTCCAAAGAGATTTTTTTAAAAAAGGAAAAGGACCTACATGTAAAAAAACATTGATAGCAGTTCTTTTTGTGGTGACAAAGAATTGGAAATTGAGGGGATGCCCATCAATTGGGGAATGGCTGAACGAGTTATGGTATATGATTGTGGTGGAATACCATTGTAATGTAAGAAATGATCAGCAGGATGCTTTCAGAAAAACCTGGAAAGACTTCCATGGCCTGGTGCAAAGTGAAGTGAGCAGAGCCAATAGAGCATTGTACACATTAACAGCAATATTATACAATGATCAACTGTGAATGACAGCTATTTCAACAATACAATGATCCAAGACAATTTAGAAGGACTTATGATGAAAAATACTATGCACCTTCAGAGAAAGAACTGATGGAATCTGAATGCAGATCAAAGTATATTGTTTCTTTATTTATTTATGTATTTTTGTCTGTGTTTTCTTTCACAATATGACTAATATGGAAATATGTTCTGCATGACTGCATATGTATAACCTATATCAGATTGCTTGCTTTCTCATTGAGGGGCAAAGGGAAGGAGGGACAGAACTTGGAACTCAGTTTTTTTAAATTAATTTATTTTGATTTATCAACAATCACTTCCATAGGAACTCAAATTTTTAAAAATGAACATTAAAAATAGTTTTTACATGTAACTTGAAAAAAATTGGAAAAAAAATACAATCATCAAGAAAATAAATAAGTCAGGCATAGTGGAAGGCATACTAGATTCTACCTCTGATATTGCCTCTAACTAGTTGGGTGACTGTTGGCAAGTTTATTTACCTTTCTGGGTTTCAGTTCCCTCATCTGTCAAATTAAGCAGTTTGACTAAATGATCTCTGAGCTCCTGCCTCACTGAAACATTCATTGATTCTAAATGAAAAAATAAATGTAATTCCAAAATGTTAAATACTGAATTAGAATTTTTATGAAGAAAATATAACTGTGTCAGGCTGAGTGTGAAAAATGAATGAGCTATCTAATCAGGGGCAGTAAAATCAAGAAAACATACTTTCACTGTGTTTCCTTAAAGCCTTTCTAGGCTTTCCTTCCAGGGAACCCTGGATCTGGGTTCTAATCACACATGCAATGAGTACCCAAGTAGTATTTTTTTTTACCATGAACACCCAAATTGCTATGACTAGAGTGTATCTAATCATCAATTAGATTAGAAGTGAGTAGAAGGCAGGCAACAACAGCATGATATGCAATTATTTCCCTACTTGCAGATCTTGAAATGTAATTCTATGGCTGGAAATCTTGGGGTCATCTTTGACTCCTGCTTTTTACACACATATCCCCCATATCATATCAGTCATCATGTCTCACTTTACTGCTACTAGCCTTATCTTTTCATTCCTAGTGACACTGCTCTCAGTTAGCTTGATCCCTTAAATTGTTTTCCAACAGATTAGCTTATTGTTCTGTGTTCAATACTTCCATAACTTCAGGAAATTGTATCGGCAGAAATTATAACTCCCTCCCCTCACCCTTTTTTTTCTTTTTATCTAATGTTGTTAAAAGACTGAATTCACTAGCAATAGAGAATAGCAGATTTGAAACTAGAAAGCAACTCAAATGACATATAAGCTAGCTCCTTTATTTTGTATGAGGAGACAGAGGCCTAGAGAGGTTAAATTACTTGTTCAGAGACCTCCCAGAATCCCTGTTTCACAGTATTCCCAAAGATGTGTAAAATTCTCAAAAGTGAGTTCAGATATTCTAGAACATAAAATTCTGAATATATCCTTTACTCTGACCTAGTATCACTCAAAGTAACATAGCTTTTATGAGGAAAAATATATAATACATAAATAATTGTTTTTTACATTTTTGTTTATAATACAAAAAAAACCTCACACAAAAATAAGGAAAAGGGAAAGTTTTTCACATTTTAGTTTCAAAAACAGTATCGAGCTGTTTCTATATATTCTATCTATCTATCTATCTATACACACACACACACACACACACACACACACACACACATACATAAATATCACACATTATATGGCCTCTGTGGTAAGATCAATATCCCATCCCCTCCCCTCATGACAGTTAGGCTAGTTTTTCCTTAAAAAGTTTTGAGTCTTTCCTTGAGAGTTGGTTGTCTCAGGAGGCTAAAGGCTCAGACTGCTGAT